GGGACACGCGTGGACATGGGGGACAGAGGGACATGGGAATGGGGAGGGACATGCGTGGACATGGGGGGACAGAGGGACACGGAAAGACAGAGGGACACGTGTGGATGTGGGGGAGAGGGACACATGTGGACACGGAGGGACAGAGGGACATGGGAATGGGAGGGATGGGTGTGGACATGGAGGACAGAGGGACACGGAGGGACAGAGGGACACGCGTGGACGTGGGGGACAGAGGGACAGGGAGGGACAGAGAGATACGTGTGGACACAGAGGGACACAGGGGACAGAGGGACACATGTGGATGTGGGGGACAGAGGGACACACGTGGACACAGAGGGACACGGGGGACATGGAAAGACAGAGGGACACACGTAGACACGGAGGGACAGAGGGACACAGCCAGAGGGACACGCATGGACATGGAGGGACAGGGACACGGAGGGACAGAGGGACACATGTGGACACGGAGGGACACGTGTGGACATGGGGGGACAGAGAGACACGGAGGGATGGAGGGACACACGTGGACATGGGGGACAGAGGGATACACAAAGGGACAGAGGGACACGTGTGGACACTGGGGGACAGACAGACACAGGGGGACGCGCGTAGACACAGGGGGACGCGCGTAGACACAGGGGGACAACAGAGGGACATGCATGGATGTGGGGGGACAGAGGGACACGGAGGGACAGAGAGACACATGTGGACACGGAGGGACAGAGGGACACGTGTGGACATGGAGGGACACGTGTGGACATGCGTGGACGTGGGGGGACAGAGGGACACGGAAAGACAGGGACACACATGGATACAGGGGGACAGAGGGACACGGAGGGACAGAGGGACATGGGAATGGGAGGGATGGGTGTGGACATGGAGGACAGAGGGACACGGAGGGACAGAGGGACACGGAAAGACAGAGGGACACGTGTGGATGTGGGGGAGAGGGACACATGTGGACACGGAGGGACAGAGGGACATGGGAATGGGAGGGATGGGTGTGGACATGGAGGACAGAGGGACACGGAGGGACAGAGGGACATGGGAATGGGAGGGATGGGTGTGGACATGGAGGACAGAGGGACACGGAGGGACAGAGGGACATGGGAATGGGAGGGATGGGTGTGGACATGGAGGACAGAGGGACACGGAGGGACAGAGGGACACACGTGGACACAGAGGGACACGGGGGACATGGAAAGACAGAGGGACACACGTAGACACGGAGGGACAGAGGGACACAGCCAGAGGGACACGCATGGACATGGAGGGACAGGGACACGGAGGGACAGAGGGACACATGTGGACACGGAGGGACACGTGTGGACATGGGGGGACAGAGAGACACGGAGGGATGGAGGGACACACGTGGACATGGGGGACAGAGGGATACACAAAGGGACAGAGGGACACGTGTGGACACTGGGGGACAGACAGACACAGGGGGACGCGCGTAGACACAGGGGGACGCGCGTAGACACAGGGGGACAACAGAGGGACATGCATGGATGTGGGGGGACAGAGGGACACGGAGGGACAGAGACATAAAAGGACACGGATGGACACGGCGACAGGGACAAGGACACAGAGGGACACGGAGTGACATGGGGTGACATGGAGGGACAGACACGGGGACGCACAGACGGACACGGGGACACGGACCCCTGGATGTGCAGAGGGACAGGGACACGGGGAGGGGACAGAGGGACACGGGGAGGGGACAGAGGGACACGGCGGGACACGTGTGGACACGGAAGGACACACAGAGGGACATAAAAGGACACGGATGGACACGGCGACAGGGACAAGGACACAGAGGGACAGAGGGACACGGAGGGACACACATGGACACGGAGGGACAGAGGGACACGCGTGGACATGGAGGGACAGAGGGACACAGAGGGACAGAGGGACATGCATGGACGTGGGGGACAGAGGGACATGGGAACAGGGAGGGACACACATGGACATGGGGGGACAGAGGGACACGGAAGGACAGAGGGACACGTGTGGACGTGGGGGACAGAGGGACACACGTGGACACAGAGAGACACGGAGGGACAGAGGGACATGGGGACACACATGGATGTGGGGGATGGAGGGACACGGAGGGACACGTGTGGACGTGGGGGGACAAAGGGACATGGAGAGACAGAGGGACACGCGTAGACACGGGGGACAGAGGGACACAGGAACAGGGACATGTGGGGACAGAGGGACACGGAGGGACAGGGGGACATGGGAACGGGGAGGGACACACATGGACACGGGGGACAGAGGGACACAAGGGGACAGGGAGACATAAAGGGACACGGGAAGGGACACGTGTGGACACGGAGGGACACACAGAGGGACATAAAAGGACACGGATGGACACGGCGACAGGGACAAGGACACAGAGGGACACGGAGTGACATGGGGTGACATGGAGGGACAGACACGGGGACGCACAGACGGACACGGGGACACGGACCCCTGGATGTGCAGAGGGACAGGGACACGGGGAGGGGACAGAGGGACACGGGGAGGGGACAGAGGGACACGGCCCCACCACACACCTGCACCCGCTGCCGCGGAGCCGGAACCGCCTGGAGCCAGAGCCTGGATCCCCAAATCCCGGTGCTCCCAGATCCCGGGGAGCCAAACCCCGGCGGTGCCGGATCCCTGGAACCCAGTGGTGCCGGATCCCGGGGAGCCAAACCCCCGGCGGTGCCGGATCCCCGGATCCCAGATGCCCAAGAGTCACATCCTGGCAGCGCCAGATCCCGGAGAGCCAAACCCTGGTGGTGCTGGATCCCCGGATCCCGGTGGTGCCCAACATCCGAGCACCAAACCCCATCCCTGCCAGATCCCCAGATCCCGGTGGTGCTGGATCCCTGAGAGCCAAATCCCAGCGGATCCCAGTGATGCTGGATACTGGGAAGCCAAATCCCAGTGGTCCCAGATCCCTGGATCCCGGTGGTACCGGCCATCCGAGCACCAAACACCGTCTCTGCCGGATTCCTGGATCCCTGGATCCCAGTGGTACCGGTCACCTGAGCACCCAATGCTGTCTCTGCCGGATTCCCAGATCCCAGTGATGCCAGATCCCCGAGAGCCAAATCCCAGCGGTGCCAGATCCCTGGATCCCAGTGGTGCCAGATGTTAGAGAGCCATATCCCAGTGGTCCCGGATCACTGGATCCCAGTGGTTCTGGATGTTGGAGAGCCAAATCCCAATAGTGCCAGATCCCGGTGGTGCTGGATATTGGAGAGCCAAATCCCAGTGTTGCTGGATCCTCGGATCCCAGTGGTTCTGGATGTCCAAGAGCCAAATCCCAGCGGTGCTGGATCCCCAGATGCCGGTGGTACCAGATACTGGAGAGCCAAATCCCAGTGGTCCCAGATCACTGGATCCCAGTGGTACCAGATACTGGAGAGCCAAATCCCAGTGGTCCCAGATCCCTGGATCCCGGTGGTACCGGCCATCCGAGCACCAAACACCGTCTCTGCCGGATTCCTGGATCCCTGGATCCCAGTGGTACCGGTCACCTGAGCACCCAATGCTGTCTCTGCCGGATTCCCAGATCCCAGTGATGCCAGATCCCCGAGAGCCAAATCCCAGCGGTGCCAGATCCCTGGATCCCAGTGGTGCCAGATGTTAGAGAGCCATATCCCAGTGGTCCCGGATCACTGGATCCCAGTGGTTCTGGATGTTGGAGAGCCAAATCCCAATAGTGCCAGATCCCGGTGGTGCTGGATATTGGAGAGCCAAATCCCAGTGTTGCTGGATCCTCGGATCCCAGTGGTTCTGGATGTCCAAGAGCCAAATCCCAGCGGTGCTGGATCCCCAGATGCCGGTGGTACCAGATACTGGAGAGCCAAATCCCAGTGGTCCCAGATCACTGGATCCCAGTGGTACCAGATACTGGAGAGCCAAATCCCAGCGGTGCCGGATCCCCAGATTCCAGTGGTGCCAGATCCCCATGATGCTGGATATTGGAAAGCCAAATCCCAGTGGTCCCAGATCCCGGTGGTACCGGCCATCTCTGCCGGATCCCTGGATCCCAGTGGTACCAGATACTGGAAAGCCAAATCCCAGTGGTCCCAGATCCCCAGATCCTGGTGGTACTGGCCATCTTGGCTGGATTCCTGGATCCCTGGATGCCAGTGATGCCAGATCTCCGAGAGCCAAATCCCAGCGGTGCCGGATCCCCGGATCCTGGTGGTGCTGGATACTGGAGAGCCAAATCCCAGTAGTGCCAGATCCCTGGATCCTGGTGGTGCCAGATACTGGAGAGCCAAATCCCAGTGGTCCTGGATTCCCGGATCCCAGTGGTTCTGGATGTCCAAGAGCCAAATCCCAGCGGTACCGGATCCTTGAATCCTGGTGGTGCCAGATCCCCATGATGCTGGATATTGGAAAGCCAAATCCCAGTGGTCCCAGATCCCGGTGGTACCGGCCATCTCTGCCGGATTCCTGGATCCCTGTGATGCCAGATACTGGAGAGCCAAATCCCAGTGGTCCCAGATCCCCAGATCCCGGTGGTACCGGCCATCTCAGCTGGATTCCTGGATCCCAGTGATGCCAGATCTCCGAGAGCCAAATCCCAGCGGTGCCGGATCCCCGGATCCTGGTGGTGCTGGATACTGGAGAGCCAAATCCCAGTAGTGCCAGATCCCTGGATCCTGGTGGTGCCAGATACTGGAGAGCCAAATCCCAGTGGTCCTGGATTCCCGGATCCCAGTGGTTCTGGATGTCCAAGAGCCAAATCCCAGCGGTACCGGATCCTTGAATCCTGGTGGTGCCAGATCCCCATGATGCTGGATATTGGAGAGCCAAATCCCAGTGGTCCCAGATCCCCAGATCCCAGTGGTACCGGCCATCTCTGCTGGATCCCTGGATCCCAGTGGTACCAGATACTGGAAAGCCAAATCCCAGCGGTGCTGGATCCTGGTGGTGCCGGATCCCCATGATGCTGGATATTGGAGAGCCAAATCCCAGTGGTCCCAGATCCCCAGATCCCAGTGGTACCGGCCATCTCTGCTGGATCCCTGGATCCCAGTGGTACCAGATACTGGAAAGCCAAATCCCAGTGGTCCCAGATCCCCAGATCCCGGTGGTACCGGCCATCTCAGCTAGATTCCTGGATCCCTGGATCCCAGTGATGCCAGATCTCCGAGAGCCAAATCCCAGCGGTGCCGGATCCCCAGATCCTGGTGGTGCTGGATACTGGAGAGCCAAATCCCAGTAGTGCCAGATCCCCAGATCCCGGTGGTACCAGATACTGGAGAGCCAAATCCCAGTGGTCCCAGATCCCCGGATCCTGGTGGTACCGGCCATCTCTGCCGGATCCCTGGATCCTGGTGGTGCCGGATCCCCGTGATGCTGGATCTTGGAGAGCCAAATCCCAGTGGTCCCAGATCCCTGGATCCCAGTGGTACCAGATACTGGAGAGCCAAATCCCAGTGGTGCCGGATCCCCAGATCCCGTTGGCACCGGCCATCTCTGCCGGATCCCTAGATCCCCAGATCCCAGTTGTCCCCTCTCCATCCCCCCCCCATCATCACTCCCAATCCGTGGGGGAGCGGATAACCAGAGGTGCGGCGTTTTTCCTCCCGGCTCGGATCCCCGGATAAAAAAGTGGCCAGATCTTTTCGGTGAAGGTGTCGCTGAAGGTGTAGATGTGGGATCGATCGGTCACGTTATAAAAAGCCACTTTTCCGGCTTCGTAATCCAGGAAAACCCCCACCCGTTTGGGTTTGACCCGCAGCGTCAGGGGGGTGAAGGGGGTGGTGGTGGCGGCGTATTTATCCCCGTTCCAGAGGCGGACGCGCCAATATCCCGTTTCCGGGAGGGGGGTGGGCTCCCCTTTCCGACTGACAGAATCCTTACACACCCCCAGAGCCCAGTGGGTTTTATCCCCCACCTCCACCTCCCAGTAGTGACGCCCCGAGGTGAAACCCTGCGCCCCCAAAACGCAGGGGTAGATGGTGAAACGTCGCGGGGTGTCGGGTAAATCCCGGGGTCCCACCTCGGCGAAGCGCACGCTCTTCCGATCCTCCGACAGCACCAGGTTGGGATGAGCCGTGTCGGGATCCAGCGTCACATCGCCTAGAAAAAAAACCCCAAAAATCATCATTTTCAACATCCCAATCCATTTAAATTTTTTTTTTTTTAATTTTTTTGGGGGAGATTTTGGGGTTTTTCTCCCTCTTCTCACCCAGGAGGCGGCGGGTGATTTTCCGGAGGGTGAAATATTGTCGGGGAAAAATGCTGAAGTTTTTTTCCAGTTCGATGGGGACGGAAACGGGATCGTCCACCGGAGCCAGCGCCGCCTCGCACCTGCCCCAAAGTAGGGGGGGACACCCCCCAAATCCTGCTTTTCTGCCCCCCCAAAAAAAGGGAGCGTGGAGAGAGGGAGGGAGCAGGGAAGCAGGTTTTGGGGGG